CCTCAGCCCCTACAGAGAAGGGCTCACAGCACCAGCGACACGGGGACCCGGTCTCAGCCTCAGCCCCTACAGAGAAGGGCTCACAGCACCAGCGACACGGGGACCCGGTCTCAGCCTCAGCCCCTACAGAGAAGGGCTCACAGCACCAGCGACACGGGGACCCGGTCTCAGCCTCAGCCGCTACAGAGAAGGGCTCACAGCACGAGCGACACGGGGACACGGTCTCAGCCTCAGCCCCTACAGAGAAGGGCTCACAGCACGAGGGACACGGGGACCCAGTCTCAGCCTCAGCCCCTACAGAGAAGGGCTCACAGCACGAGCGACATGGGGACACGGTCTCAGCCTTAGCCGCCTGCTTAATCATCTCTGCCTTCCAACGCTTCAATGCTTCAATGGCTCTGGGTCGCATTTCAGGACAGTCAGATACAAAACTCCATAGATTTCAAACGTTACTGCATTAAATCAAATAAAAGTGGCTTCTTCACATTTGTTTTAACAGGACATAATTCAAGGTTCAAAATGCCAGGTGCCAGCAATTGTGTCATTGACAGAACTTACTATCCTTTATGACTTTTTAGGTCCAGAATATCAATATGAAGCACAGATCTGAATAGTGATATGGAAACAGACCCTCCTGAGAAACACACAGAGAAGAGTCTGTAACCTTTGAGTTGCCTAAGCATTTAAGTAATTAATCCCACAGCAAATGCGACACATGTTTCAAATCAGATCTATTTGAAGGTCCTTCCTAGGTTTGGCACAGGGTAAGCAAACAGGAATTCCCAGTAGGGAATGGGTCCAGTGGAAACAGTGTGTGTGTGTGTGTGTGTGTTCACCCTTAAGCATGTTCAACACTATTCAGACTATGCAGAATAATCATTACATGGGCTTCCTTCAAGTTGCTGATTCACTGCTTTTTAAGCATATGTGACCGATGAGTATCGATCCAACTTCGACTGCTGATCCAGCATTGGGTGATGTGGAACCTGGAGCCCATCATAACCAGCACAAGACACAAAGCAGGGAGACACACCAATTCACTTAACCACATGTCTTTCGATTGTTCCAGAGAAAGACCCTGGAAGAACTAGTGGTGAAGCTTATCTAGGTCACCACAGGGCAGTTTGCTAAGTTGGTGCCCCCTCAGAAGATGGTGCCCTGGGTGGCCGCCTATGTCATCTGTAGGATCAACTGGCCATGTGCAAATGCCACACATGGAGAGCCAAGGGTGGGTATCGAACCCACAATGCTAGTGTCATGAGGCCTCAGCGTCATCCAGTAAGCCACCATGCCACCCACAATGCAGCTGATGAACTAAACAACATTTGCTGGAAGTAATTGTATGCTTTTTTGAGTTATCTTTGTGTAAATACTCTGGGCCATTCTGAGGAGTCTAGTGTTGCGGCTCATTTCACAAATCTGGCTTTTAGGAGGCGCTACAAGCATCTGATAGCACATCTGGCTGCTGCCAGGCACATCTGTATCTGAAAGGGACGTCCGCAAACACATCCCACACCCGAGCAGAGCAGACAGGGCTTGCGTTCGCCTGCCCGACCTTGCAAATGCATCTATTATCCATGAGGAGGATATTATTGACATAATGAGTGTCAGGAGGGGATGGAACCTCTGCTGGCCTTTACTTCGCCCTGCCCTTGATACCTTACACGAGAAGCACTCTGATGCCATTACATTTGTGTGCCCAAACAGCCCTGGGACCATTAATCTAAGGTCAGCCTTGAGCACCAGGCATTTGGATCAGCACCAGAATCACTACGGTTTCACTTTCATATTGCCTACCTCGCCTCCCCCGAGGCCCAAGTGCAGATATGCAAACTGCATTTGAGGACCAGTCAAATTAAAACACACGCAGATCAGCGCTGAGTCCTTGTGGCAACAGCATAAGCTCACCCTTAAAAACACATTAAAGGTTCTTCTTCAAGCTTAGAATCCTGATGCGGTAAAAACGTTGGGATCAGATCTGTGACGTCCTCGATTATTAGGCTTCAGTCGTATGAGCATTAACAGCTATGGGGCTACAAGACCTCCAACATGTTTATCTATTTTCCCCAAATGTTTAACAGACAGCAAATAAACAGAATACCTCTTTTACAGGGAAAGCCTATTCTCCGCCAGGGATCACAGCGTTCTCGAGGTGACGACCTCACCACACACCTCGGCACAGTAAAACCCGCAGCCACACAAAAAGGACCCCCACTGGGGCAATATCCCACACTCAGGAGGCCTCTGGGCCTGTCTACGCCTTTCTACACTCTCCAGAACCTAAACACGCCACAGAAACAGAATAGAGCGGCACGGATGGACACGCTTCCAAAAAAAAATCCAGTCCTTTCGGAAAAATACTTCCAAAAGGTATATTTGTTATGACTTCGAATTCTTGCTGATTTTAAGAAAAAAAAAACAATGAAATCCTTCTCCAGCTACACCTTGATGGGATGAGCTTGCACTTTTCTCCTGGTTGTATCTGCAGGAAGTTGTACATATGAAAAATGCTCCCACTGTGATTTAATGTGACCTAAAATCAAGCTGAAGTCAAGGGTCCAGGTTTCCACTGGGCTTAATCGCAGAAAGAGTAGGGCCCATAAATGATGTTTAACCCTTCATGAGGCAAATCCGCCACGCTATCTACCATCTCGGTCCAAGATGCTACATAGCTCCAGACATCAAGGTGCTTTCAGGAGTGAAGGTCTCAGCGCAGAGCAGCAAAGGAGCACTTCCAAGAAATCCCCTGCATGAATACGCATCGTCAATCAAAATACGAAAAATTATGAGCCGTAACGCTAAAGTTAACGTTGGCATAAGCTTACACTAAAATAACATAAGCATTGTGAAAGAAGATAACAAGAAGCATAATTCATGAAGTTACTCATGCAAAAAAAAAAAAAACGAACCCTAAATTTTTCCAAGGAAACTTTATCCTTGTTTAATTTAAATATATAGCTACATACACACGCGTGGTGCAGAGAGCCAGCGACGTCATCGTGGGACTCGCCAAGCGGCCCTGACAGCCATGAGAAAGCAGTCATGCAATCCTTACATCACAGGCACCACAGAGATCAGGAACTGGGCCACATATCTAGAATGGGCTCCTCGCTGTGAAAGGAGCAGGAGGAGGAGGTACTGGGCTCTAACAGGTAGTTCTAAAACGAATGCAATGATGAAATTACATGTCAATGTTCTTAATGTCTGATTGCAACATCTCCAAGGTCATGCCCAGATACCCTGGTTCACTTCAGGCAGAGTTACAGGTCATAGAATTTACTGGGGGGGGGGGGGGCGTAAAAGGATATCGTACTGGGCGGCCCAACCCAGACCAATCCAATTATGTTTCAAATTCTTTAGGGCCCCTGTCCTAACTTTCACCCCTAGGGTAGGGGCCCCTGCTCCAAATTCATTGTTGGGGCTCTACCTACAGCATAAAATTAACAACCAGAAAAAAATTGGGGTTCCCCCTACAGAGGGGGGCCTGGGGTGCCTTACATCCCTGCGACCGCCCTGGTTCCGTGTCTGTGCAGTTTGCATGTTCTCCCCATGTTTTCACAGGGTTTTCTCCAGTTTCCCCCCACAGTCCAAAAACACTGTTGTTCTCTGCCTTCTGCCAATAGGCTCTGAACCCACTGTGACCATGTATAGTAGTTACAGAAAAGGTATGGATCCACCTACGGCTCAGGGTCCCAGCCTGTGGCTTAGGTTAGCCTGTGCACAAGTCACTTCTTACCCTGAACCCTCAAAGCCCCAAGGGTGCTTTACATGACAAGCCCAGCCACCTTCCCGATGACAGAGAGGCCCCTTAGTCACACGGCTCCGGCTCTCTCACTGGTCCCATCTGCACCTCCTTCTCTCAAACAGCACTATTTATATGCGGCTGCGGAAAATAACTTGCGCTTTACTTTGTTTAATGACGCATGATGCAAATAAATTACGAAGCCATTAACTTTTTTTCCTCCTTTATTTTCTGGGAAAGGCAAAATGGCTTCAGCTGTGGAACGAGCCTAGAATCAAAAGGACCGAGCCGAGTTCCAAGCTGTCACTGTGTGATGGGCTGCCCCCCCCCCCGTGCCCCCTGCTTCCTGGGATAGGCTCCAAGCTCACCATGACCCTGCACTGTGGCTGGAAGATAGATGGCGGGATGCAAAACTTCACTACAAGGATTCTGGGAAAAAAAACAAGCACTGCATAATTAGGGTAACATTAGCCAGTAACTAGATTAAGATTCATTTAACAAGTTGAAGTTTTAGGCACTGGAAGGGGCAATACAGGGCAGACATCAGGAATCATAGCAGGACGCACGTGCGATGATCCTTCCATGTGATTGATCCTGTCCTTAAAAACCGTGATCTTCCCTGCGGAAGGCGGGACGCCTCGGATCAGCCTGGGCGCAGAGCGGATTTAACACCAAGCCAGTGCTGCAGCAGAGGGTGCTGACGTTCGTGCTCTGAGAGGATCGTCCGCCGCTGAGCCGAAAGCTTTACTTAATCCACACCCCCACCACCCCCCGAGGACCTCAAACCTACCTCCACCTTGTAGATGTTGGAGGGGTGGTCCCTGCGCCCGCAGTGCAGAGTCACGGTCTTGCAGCAGCTATCTGGGACCACTCTGCCCTCCGCATCCGGCAAGGCCGTGTAGGCGCTGAACAGCCAGTCGCTGGAGCTGTTGCTTCCGCAGCACTTGAACTGCAGATGGGGAGGAGAAATCGGATACACGAGGAAGAAGACGGACTGTGGGCTTTCGAGACCTCCATCTTTCCTCACTGCCCCATCATCTCCAAACCAAACAATGACTCATTTGACCCAAACCTCACCCTAATCACCTCTACGGGACGAACACATGTCTCTTAGCGCTGTGAAGTTTTAGCCACTTGCAGGGGCAATACAAGGCAGACATCAGGAATCATAGCAGGACGCACGTGAGATTATCTTTCCTCAAAAGTACGGCAGGCAGATAGGGACACAAACCAATGTTGTGATGGGATCTCTGTGCCGCCAGTACAGCACTGCAGAGCTCCAAATCCAGTGTAAGCTGGGTCACTGCATGTCGATCACGAATTTAATCCAGCGGGAGCTGGTGCAATTTATCACCATTCCTCCCACTCAAAGCTTCATCCCTCTCATCACAGAGCATGCTTTTAGTGACACCCTTTATGTTTCAGCAGCGATGGTTAAGCCTGCTCATGTTTCAAAGCTCCTGTCTCAACACCAAGTCGGGATCCAGTCACAGGCAAACTAGACAGCTGCCTGTAGCCTGATGGGCACATGGGGGCCCAACAAAATCATGAAAAAAAGATATATATTCATTTAGAAATAAGGATATTTACATAGTAAAAAAACGATATGCATCAAATTAAAATGTTTTTACGCTGACCAGCTGTAGACAGAACAGGCTGTTGCTGGGACTCCTGAATTACCTGAGCTGAGCAGGAAGTGAAATGATCATCACTTTACCTGGTGGGGTAGGGGGGCCTTCCAACATGAGCCAGGCTCAACCTCCCCCCCCCACACCACCCTCGCAGCCGCCCCCCCGCCTCCAACATCGCCCCTGTCAAGCCTTGTGCCACCGCTGCTGTTACTGCTTGCTGGCCCTCTCACTGGCCGTGGGATTAGACACCTTGGCTCACTTTCCGCCAAAGTCACGCTGCGGTTTATTTTTAACGCTGGGCGTCACGAGCGACAGGGCGCCGTTAAATCTGCAGAGAGAGGGACGCAGTGTGAAATGGGCCGGTCTCTCTCACGCGTGCACGCACACACACACCACACAGACCACACACACCGGGGGGCGGTGCAGGTACGCAGCGGGTGATTCAGGTTCCACGGTATAACAGAACCTCGCAGAACCGCGCGCCGCGGTAAGACGAACGCGGAAGCTGAGGGCTTGCGAGGAGCCTCAGCACAGGACCACTCACGTGACCTTCCTGTGACAAGCATGCCTTAAATCTCTCAGCGGACCTCGTTAATTTTCTGATTTGTGTTCAGGGATGGCACTTCATACATGCCTTGCGGTCCAATAAAACTGTCAAACATCAAGGTGACGACAAGGGACCTTTTCTTCTTCGTCTCCTAGGTACGCTGGCACCAGTTCACCAGCACCTGTTTCAGCCTGGAGGCTTCGTCTCGCGGTTTGTCCTGTGGCGCCTTGAGGCTCCGCCCCCAAGAGACGGCGAATGGAGCAGGCGGCCCCTGTGCGGCGCTTACGTCCTGCTGGAGGCTGTCGACGGCCAGCGTGACGGGCTCCTTCCCCGGCTGCCTGTAGTTCTCCGTCATGGTGCGGCTCAGGTGCTGCTTCAGCTCGTCGCTCAGCTGTGGGAGGGGTTACAGAGAGAGACACTGGAGAAGAGCGACCGACAGCCTGAAGACCACGACGTCGGTAAGCCTCATGCCAGCCGGCGATTCAAGAACTGATATGCAGTCGAGAAGATCCAGTGGCTTGTCTGTTTTTAAATTGGCTTCTTGTTACCAGAAATCTGCCTCACCTGGGTCATCCTCTTAAAAACCTCATTCAGGCCTGAACTGGGGGGGTGGGGGGCAGGTTTACTTCTCAGTGCTGGTTTGTTTGTTGCACAGCACTTTATTCCTCAGTCATCCAAACATGCGCCACATACTGTACTACTGACACTATTGACTAACTCCTGCTGACGGTTTGGCATCTTTGACCATGTTTTTAGTTTTTTGGTTTCCTTAATAAATCCTGAATGTCCTGCTATTTGGTTACGCAGCGCGTTAAGCAGAGGGTTAAGCGATGATGGACACATGGGAAGGACGTACAGGACGAATAAATGAGTTTGGGGTGAGTACACTGCCCCCCCCCCCCCCCCCCCCACAAGCCCTTGACCCTTCATTCATGCCACAGCGCTTATTTTCATTTCCCCAGCGGGAAATCCCCGCGAGACAGGCTGAGCTCGCAAGCACGTGGACTCTGGTGCAGGTAATGCACGGCTGCCCTTCAAACACACCGGCCATGTTTTCGCCGTTCCGGCACGGACTCCGGGAACAGGGACAGCAGAGGTTAAACACACGGGCCAGTAATTTAAAAACCCGACGCCTTAAGCCGCAGAAGTCACTGAAAAAAGGAACTAAAACTGAGATACTTCTGTAAAATAGACAGGTGTGAAATGGCCAGGAATGTAACTCACTATGGATACGTGTCAACGAGGAATCTCAACATAACTAACGCCAGACGATGAAAGAAAAACTATTTCATGGAACATGCTGCCGTTCCTTGTCCCCTGGAAGAAGCCAGCGGGGTCACCCTGCACGCCTAGTCATTGGCCAGGGTAGAAAAGAACAGAAGCATGACTTGAAAATGGCTGCAGACTCAATATAAACACGTCCAGGAAAGGGTGACTCACTTCCCTGTGTAACCCACTACCCAAAGCTCCTGACCCATCTGCGTCTCCCAAAGCTCGCACAGCTACCCTGCGCAGCTCCGTTACGCTGCAGCCACTTTTTTAAACACCTGAACACTAAGCTGGTACCACCACTGCTACAGAACACCTACAGCAGCTCAGCAGGTCTTTATAAATGAAATCTTGTTTTTGGGGGGGAATTCAAACTGAAGGACTGTCTATACAGTACAGACTGAGTAGTTACACAATACAACCCCTCTCTTTGAATGAAGAGATTCCCAAATTCTTATCCTGCACAATGCAAAATAACTTTTTTTACTTAGCTGTCCTAAGCAGACAAAGCCTGATAGGCCTACAAACTCCTGTGAAGACGGCAACGTGAAGTGAAATCCAAAAATACTGACGATAACTTTGGGGAAGTCTTTGGCCTCAGCCTGCAGGAGGACTCACCCGTTGGTAGTAGACGTAGGCCAAGACCCCAGCCACGAGCTCGATGAGGAAGATCAGTAACAGGCAGGAGAAGTACTGCAGGGGACAAGGGGGGGAGGGTTAGAGCCTGCCTGTTTTACCAAAACCCTACCATAGATAGGACCCATCTCTGAAAACTCCAGCGATCTTAGAGAAAAACCATAAGGTCGCCACAGTCGAGGAATACATTTCCAAACCTTACTCAGGTCACGGCATATGTTTTCAATGAAATTTCTGTTTAGTTTTGGAGATTAAATGAAAATTCTTTGTTGGATGTCATGAGGACTGAATGAGTTTTGGTTGCCAATACTGAAACATACCATGAGGAAGCCTCGTCTCAAGAACAACAAAAAAATGTATTGAGTGAATTCTGGAAATTTGCTCTTCAATTCTAAAACAGCACTCAAACGAAACAGTTAAAGGACTGGTAAATAGGAACCCGCATCCTTACAGATATCCAAATCCCTTGCTCCATGCCAGAACAGGGACAGCGGGGTGTGGTTTCTAGGTCCAGAGCGGCTCACTCACAAGCTCAAATCAGGGGAAACGGGAGCCAGTCCAAGACCAAACATCTTGACTGCGTAAAAATCACAATAACCAGAAAAACAAACTGCACATTTCATCCCAACTCCAGAAACGTGGCCAATAAAAAAAACGGCCAAGAAATTCAGACCGAAAGCTCCATTCGAGAACGACGCAGAGAAAATAAAACAATTTTACGCACGCTGCATTTCAGTCAGACTTAATGAGCGGTTTATGGACTCAGAAACCAGTGAAACCATTTTTATACAACATTATAGTACAATCGACCCGCCTGAGCTCCACAAGCTCCGTTTGCCATTTGGACATTCTGACATTTACAGACTCTCCACTGTCTTACAACGGCGACATAAAAACGCAGCGAGCCGGGAGGAAATGTTACAGGAAAGCCTTCATCTGTGAGCGGCATGCTGACATTTCACTGGAAACCAACGACGACCGGCGTTTTTGTTCTCTGATTAAAGCAACGAGGCCCTGGAAACCACGCTATGCTGTGAATATGGGATGGTGGGCTAGGGCACTGTGCCCATATCCGGAAGGCTGTGGGCTCAAATCCCACGACTGGCAAGTAATCATATCAATCAGGCCCTTGAGTAAAGATGCTAACACTCATTGCTCCAGGGTCTGCCGGACCCTACTCGCTGATCCCGACTCGTACGTCACTTTGGATAAATGTGCCTGCTACATAAATAAATGTAAATGAATGCATCCACCTATAGGAGATGTCAGACACAACACAGAGCCAGCCAAAGGCATGACGCCATTAGTTTGCTTTTCTTATGTGAACAATCAAGGTGTAGTATTATTAAGCAAGCTCCAGGAACAACGAATGGCCAATCAGAACAGAGGAATGGAACGGAGAGCTCTGGTTTATGGTCTTAATATACAACAAGTGAGCCTTGCTTCATCCTTCCTTTACAGAATGATATGCTAATATGCTCAGGCTGTGCGAATCAGAGGTTATGATTCACCGGGGGGGGGGGATCTGCATGCTGGCATTGCCGTTACCAGCTAGTCACTCCGTGCTAAAGGGAGAATCACGTTAAGATTAAAGTCATTATTCATTTACATTCACACGTCTCACAAATTCTTTATTTAAAAGGGACTTAAGCATTTTTTAGATTACGCACAGAAAGTGAAACAGCAACCTGAAATGTTAACGCACACGGCTAACATCTTCACTGAACTTGCTCTCGGACCATTTTTGCCAGAACGTTCTACTGAGCAGTGACATCCTACGCAGGTCCGGAGCCAGCCAGCTTCCTAAAGACGTTTTTTTCTTCTTTTTTTTTTTATAAGGAGTGTCAGAAATACCCCAGGCAGGATACGCGTCACATTTTGTCAGATTTCAATATCGGCCTGATTGCTGCTCTATTTTCCCACACGCTGGAACGTCGCGAGCGTGACGGAGCGCAGCGAGGCGGCTCCCCGGGATGGACGTGGTGCTAAACAAGGTAAACAGGCTCTGCGGAACCCGCGACCGATCTAGGTGATGACGCCTAAACTGCCATTTGATGGGGCAAACTGAGGCGTCGAGGGGGCGGCTATTAACAATTTACCACTTGCCTTCAGACCGAAGGTCTGCCAGGTCCCAGGTCACCAACCGGACCCCCACTGCAGAGAGAGGGAGCAGCACAGCATTGGGATCTGATCAAACTGAAAGCCCTTTAAGGTAAACGGTCGGATTGAAAACATCTCCCTGATCAAAACGCTGCGATCTCATTCCCTTAACTGGCAGGCCAAAGCCCCCCCAAGTAAAAGTAAGACCTCATGCGAAACGCACAACAGAACGGAAGAGAAAATGGCGTGTCACATAAAGAACCATCAAGGAGGGAATCCGAGACGGGATTCAGGCATTAAAAAGCGATTTTCCCACACGGTGAATTACAGCTGGGGTCACCAAAGGTCGGGCATTAAAATAAACGGGATCTGAGTGTCAAGCTCTCCGGCCCCCAAAGGCCCCCGGGCTCATCCCAGCTGTCCGCTACCACTTAGAGGCCATTTTAAATCACTGCCCCCACAGTTTACAGGAGGGGCGGAAGAAGTCATTAATTCGCCCGAATCGGAAGAGTGCCCTTAAGGTCCGATTACTGCACTGATTGGTTGGCAGGACACCATGTCGGGCCGGTCGAACCTAACCCAGATCCTGGACCACACAGCGCTGAGGGGGCTGCTTCTGACTAGGTCCTGGGGAGTCCAACGAGACTTATGGGAAGGAGGTGAGAATGATCTTCTGACCAGTGCCAAGGTACACAGTGGCCTTTTTCCCCCAAAAAAACTTGTTTTCTTTTCCCTTGTACAAATATTTAATGTTCAGCTGGCTTTTTTCTGGCTGAGATGGACTGACTGCGCAATCAAGAAGGCCAGACGTCCCTGGGGGGCGGAGACTCTCGGTGCTCATGTCTGGCTAAAGCGGGGCACAGGCAGACCGAAAACGGGGTCGACGAAGCCGACCAGCAGGGGCGAGCTGAACCTCCACTGCACAGCCCAGGACGAGAACACGAATGCTTAAATAGAATACAGAAGAGCAACATTCAGTAAGCCCTGGGGGAAATTCCCTTTTTGGCTCTCCATGAAACACACAGAGACATATACATGTGAGGGGGGGTCACAGCACAGGGTCAGCCAGCACATAGAGCCACTGGAGCTGGGGGGTAAGGGCCTTGCTCACGGGCCCACAGGTATGTGACTCTTCTGTCGAGGCTGGTGATCTTCTGACCACAGACAGAGAAGCTTACCCACTGAGCTGCACATCGCCCCCTAGATGGAAAATGCAAGCATCACACATTTCAAACCTACACAGTTTCCTGTATCTGTGCACGTTACACAACGTGCTGCTGCATGCAAATTGATTTCCCCCTGGGATCAGTATGGTACATCTTACCTTAACTTACAGCATTTTAACCTATAAGATTTTGTACTTATTAACGCAGCCACTGTATTACAAGCATTCAGAATTTTCAATTGTTTTTTGTGAGCTTTCTTGGTGAAGGATGTGAGTGAAGGTTGGGGCCCTGACAGATCTCAAACACGGCAATAATTAAGTCACTTGTCAAACTTGGCAGGCAGTTAATGGTATCTGACCGGCCACGCTGGAACAGATGGTTCTCTGCCATGTGGGTTCTGACGTCATTACAGCAATTAGGGTACATGAGAAAACCTGGTGTACAAGGCAGAGCACGGGGGTGTACACACTACACATGGCACAAAGCCGGAGCACGGGGGTGTATACACTACACATGGCACAAAGCCAGAGCACGGGGGTGTACACACT